CAGTGTCGGCTGGCGACCCCCAGGGCAAGGGCCTTCTCTGTCGGAGCACCCACCCTCTGGAACGAGCTGCCCCCAGAGATCCGGGTGATTCCGGATCTCCCCTCCTTCCGCCGCGCCCTTAAGACTTGGTTGTTTCAGCGGGCAGGACTGGCCTAGGGGTATTTTAAATTGGTTTTAGCCAAATTTTAGTAGAAGCGGCTGATTTAAATATTTATTTTTAATGATTTTTTAAAACTTTGTATTGTATTGTATTAAACTGTTTTTAAACTGGCTGTAAGCCGCCCTGAGTCCTACGGGAGAAGGGCGGGGTATAAATATAATAAAATGAAAATGAAAATGAAATGAAATGAGAAGCTTCTTGGCATGTTTCCAACCCAGGCGGTCTTGAGTTTCCTTTTGCCAATGGGGAAGAACTCGATAAATAGACAAAAATGCCAGATCCAGTCTGAACATCTGGCTGACAGTGAAAAAAAAAACATAATAATAGCAAAGCAAAGGTAGTACCAATAGGGACAGGTGCCTTGGGTGCAATCCCAAAATATCTAGAGCACCATATGAACACCATCGGCATTGACAAATTCACCATCAGTCAATTGCAAAAGGCAGCTTTCCTCGGAACAGTAACTTACATCCTGCGACAATTATCTGTAAGCCCATCAAACATCCACCCCTGCCTATCCCAGGTTCATGGGAAGGACTCGATAAGTGGATTAAAGTGCCAAAATGCAGTCTAAAAATCTGACGACAGTGCAACCAGCCACAATAAATTAAACGTGTATGTTGCCCGAGTCTCAATGACTCTGGGCAGTTGAATGAATGAACGAATAAATGAATAAGTGCCCTTCTTTAACACACTCTTCCACGTATTTAACTTTGTTTACGTGTTCTCTGGTCTACCTCCTCTGGACTGGGAAGCTCTCCTTCCCTGCCAGCAGCTACCAAAGAACATTAATTTTATTACACTCTTATTTTTTACCCTCCTTACTTTCTGCACTAGTCTTTCCTTTTCTATTCAGCTGAGATGTCTTTTATGAGAAAACTAGTCTCTAGGCGATTGCACTCTGGCTGTTTAAACCGAGACCCAGAATGATTCATGCTCCCAGCAAAACAGAACAAACGGAGAGTGGAGCTGCAAAAGGCAACATGAAACTGTTCCACAACCAGGGACTCTCCAGGCTAATAAATACAATAGCTTTCAGGATGGAAAACCATTTTTTGCTCCTCTTTAAAGTCCGTTGCCTTCCATTTTAATTGGAGATCTCCTAGGTTTGCTACTGTTAAGGGGAGAAAGGGATTTAAGGGATCATCCACACGCTAAAACCTTCAAGAATAGATGACTGGATTTCACTAATTCTGAAAACGCCGATTGCACTTATGTAGCACAGAATAGGCAAATCTTGTCAGAACCGCCAAGATCATGATGAGACATCAGAGGGCATCTCCAGTTCGGCTTTTCTTTTAAAGGATGGTTTTTACAGCCGTTGCTATCGGCACCTAGAAATTCCAAAACCTGAAGCATCCCTGACAATCAAGAATTTTATTTTATAAAGGTGTTTCTAGTGCTAAGAATTTTGAGAATTGAGGTCTACTCATCCAGAGCAATGTTTCTTAATCTTAGTAACTTTAAGAGGAGCCCTGGTGGCGCAAAGGTCAGAATGCAATATGGTAGACTAACTCACTGCCAGAAGTTTGATCCTGTGTGGCCCAAGGTTGACTCAGTCTTCCATCCTTCCGAGGTCAGTAAAATGAGGACCCAGATTGTTGGGGGCAAGAGGCTGACTCTGTAAATCGCTTAGAGAGGGCTGTAAAGCACTGTGAAGTGGTATATAAGTCTACAGTAAGTGCTATTCTTGCCGTTCTATTTAACTCCCAGAATTCCCTAGCCAACATGGTCCCTGCTAAGAATTTTGGAAGTTAAAGTCCACTCATCTCAAACAGTGTTTCTCAAGCTTGGCAGCTTTAGGATAGCTGGCTGGGGAATTCTGGGAGTTGAAATCCACCCATCTTAAAGTTGCCAAGGTTGAGAAACACCGACCTGGAGGATACCCAGGCATCTCCCTAAGAATTAAAAGTCTGGCATCCTCGACAGGAAAAAGAAGGCCGTAATTCAGAATTTTCTTACTGCGTAGGATGACTTGCTGGTAATTTCCAGAAGTTTCTGCTTGGCTCTCCTTTCAGAGTCACGGGCTTCTTGCAGATCCTGCTTGAGTTGATCAGCCTCCTTTGCCCTGCAGGCAGTCGAGAAAAGAAGAATCCAGAGTCAGATCCAGACCAGCACTTATCCTCCCCAACATGCTTCGGTCTCTCCGAAGATTAAGCCATGTCACCTCCTATCACTATCATAAAGCAAAACCAGCAAAGGGGAGGATTGTTATCTCTCTGGTAGCTAATTCTTAAAAAGTAAGTTGGAAAAAGACGCTGCAGGTAAAAAACAAATCAAATCAGTTTGGGGGAGCAGAACTTTCACTACTCTAAAAGAGGGTAAGTAACTCCTTCCAGCTCTCGGCTTATATCTTCCAGAGATCTCCAAGAACAGGGCAATTTCTCATATACATTCTGAATATCAAACCAAACCTAAGTTTTAATTAGTCCAGTAAGAAGCTGTTCAAGGCATTCCATTAATCTCAACCAACTCCAGTCTGGGATTTCCAATTCCGGACATCTACCGGACACCAGACTGGCTTAGTTCATTTTAAAGGCAAATGAAAAGTACACTATTTTCTATTCCTTTCTTTTTTAAAAAAATTTATTTATTTATTTATTTATTGAATTTATATACCGCCCTATCTCCCTTACGGGACTCAGGGCGGTGAACAGGCGATAATAAAAACCACGATAAATATACACAAAAACCCACGATAAATATACACAAAAATGACAAAGCCAAAAACACTGCCACTCTTAAATCACCTCCCTTGCTTTCACAATGGCAAGTACGGTTTGCTCCATTGATTCCTGGGGCAAATCCCAATAAGGGATGACGGGTAATTTGAAGACCTCCACCCCACCCCAATGCCACTTGGAGCCCGTTTCACGCTGTTTTGTTTATTTATATAGTTATTCTCTAAGGTGGCTGGCTGGGGAATTCTGGGAGTTGAAGTCCACGCGTCTTCAACCTGCCGAGGATGAGAAACACTGCTCTAAGGAAACAGGAGAAGGCAAGTGATGGCTGCCATCCCTGAAGTTAAAGGGATCCAGTATTCCTACGTAAGAAATCAAGCGAGGTTAAATCAAGCAGGTCCCAGCTCCCTCTGAGGTACCACCTTCGTTCAGATTCCTCCGCCATTTTCAGAGCTAGCATCTCGGCCTCCATCACTTTCTGTTCCATCAATCGCTTCTCTTCCTCGGTCCGAATCGCTGTGGCCTTGATCCGTTGCATTTCCTGCTCTGCCTCGGCCGCCTTTTGGGCCAGGAGTTTGGCTTCCTCTTCGGTGATCTGAGCTTTTTCGGCCAGCAAGTCTGCCGTTTCTTCCGATCTCATCTGGACGAGAAGGATGGAGAATTAAGACACACATGACGTCTGACACGTGAGCAGGAGTCTGGACAAATTCCCAAACTGTGGAACGGGAATGAATTCTAAACTTTTAAAATAGAGATAGTTCTTGACTTACAACAGTTCTTTTAGTGGCCAAAGTTACAACGGCACTGGAAAAAAAGGGACTTTTTTTCACACTTACGACCGTTGCAGCATGATCAAAATTTGGATGCTTGGCAACGGAGTCGTATTTGTGACAGTTGCCTCAAACAAGCAATACACATTCTTCACTAATTATCCTGGATGATTCTTGTGTTCTTTCTAGGTAGGAGCATCTGAAGGACCTACCAGAGCTTCATTCGCCATTGTAGCCTCCTCTTTCAACTGCAAAAGTCTCCTCTCCATCTCATCCCTTGTGCGTTCGGCCTCTTCTCTCATCTGTTTCTCTCGGGCTAAACGCTGGCGCTCCATCTAGAAAGAAGAGAGCGATGGGGGAAAAAGAAGAATTAAAAATAGCAAATATATGCAGATCAAATTCAATTTACTACGCCTATGGAAATCATACAGTTCATCTATTTGTCTGGCACAATCGGTTCTAATGGCAAAGAATGTTTGTAGCTAAGGGTTGAACGGTGAGGTTCTGGGTGTTCTCCGAGCTTGGTGGTTTTCCATTTCTTTACCAAACTAAGCAACTTCATCCTAGCACTGATGACGTTACCTAGTTTGGTAATGAAACATCCGCAAGAAAACAAGCAAGCTCAGAGATCACCAAGGAGCCCAGTTCTATTTCTGTAATCCAGATTTAGCAGGTAATTTTAATAGTTTCACTAAGGAGTTCCGTTAATGAATTTTTGATGTAAGTCATGACGTTTTCTGCCTGAATGAAGTAAGAATACCTTAAACCTTTCACAAGTTTTGCTTATGTTCCAACTTTTCCTTCAACTTTCCAGAGATGCTATCAACTTCTTCCTAGTTAAAATAGAGACTTGGATATTCTATCAGCCAGTTCTGAAAATAAACAGTCCTTGATAAGGCACCATCTCGTTCATGAAAGACAAAGAGACTTAAGGTGCCAATGGGCTAGATAAGGGCGTTTCGACTCGGCAACTTTTCTTGCTTCCACACCAGAAGCTTTTCTCCGTAACAGCAGCAACTTCTCCTGTTCTTTTTTTCTTAAAAAGTTAAAATTGCAGGACGTCCAATGCCGAACGTTTCACAAGATGGTGAGCTGCCTTTTTCTAAATCACCCAAGAAGACTTATATTCTAGGCTGCTAAGAATGAAAAGAAAAATGCAAGGAGGATTTCAGAGGTCCTTCTTTCTTTGCAACGAGGCACAAACAGGTGGAGAGTTGCCAGGGGCCTGCAGAGGAGCCAGCCACGGCCCCGTTGCCAGATTCATTTGTTCCCAAAGCTTTTGTTCTTCTTCCTATCGACAGAAACAGGCTTCCTTCTTCTGAAAACCATTAGCCAAGTTCTTGGCAATAGTTTGCTCCTCGCGAAGCCCAGCTTTCAGTTCAAGGGAGGTTTGAAAGCATCTTAGGAGCTTGTCTCCAGTCTCTTTCCCAGCCTGCCAACTTGACTCAAGGTGAACAATTCTCCTTCCTGCAATGTTATCCTGGAAAATGTACATATTTGCCTTCATTTGTAATTCTCCTTCCAGACAAAGCTCAAGAGATGCCAGTGGAAGAGCTCGATTGTCCACAGCAGGAGCCGAAGAGGATCTCAACCTCCAACTCAGCCCTCCTGGAGGGGCCTAGAAGGATGCCAGATGCCTGCTGAGCTAAGCCCTAAACCCAGATGGCTTAGGACCCTCACCCTAAGGAAACCCAGTGCTTTAATCGAGGACACCTGTAACGTTTTGGGGCCTCTCTAAGACCCAAGACACTCAGCGGCTGCTTCTCAGGCTCTCTAGCAGCTTACCCAAAAGGGGCAATCAATATTCTGCGTAGCACCACACAGATTAGCTGTGTGGGCTTCAGCAAAGAGGAAAGCATGGTAAGCATGATTCATACAATCCAATTTGCAGAGATGCACTCCCTGGCTCCCTGCTGCAGACTGCGCTGCGCTGCATCTGCCAGATGGGATAAAGGAGGCCAAGCCCCGCATTAGCATGCAGGCAGCATGCAGCCGCACATCGCCGCACCATTCGTTATCGTTTCATTAGGAAAGAGGAGTGCACAGCTCCTCCTCCTCTTCCTCCTCGGGTCCCGTTTTCCCGGTAACCGATTCCCTGCCACTGCCACCCACCCACCCACCCACCCTCTCCAAAATCTGGAGAAGAGTAACAGAAAGAGGAGAGGTATTTAGAAAGTGCTCTGTAGCACCTGTGTGGATGTGCGTACACTCAACATCTTCACACCAAAAACAGACGGAAGGGATGTGCAAGCAAAGAGCAGGAAAGGGGGAAACCAGAGTTGGGGCAGAGAACATCTCCTTCTCCATTTGGGGTACACTTGAGTATGAAAAGCAAGGGTGCACAAGCACCCCCAAATCCAAGCGTTTGCCCAGTTTTTCATTGTGACCTGTTTATTCAATGATTGGTACTTTTTCAAGGAAGAACAAAGTAAGTCCAGTTGCCTTTTCAAAAAACACCTTTGGAATAACCATGATCGAGATGACTGGGAATCTCCACAGGCATTCCATCACATCATGTGTGGATTTCAACTCCCAGGATTCCTCACTGACCATGTGTCAGGCCCAAATCAAGAAAGACCCACGGGGATTCTTCCGAGCCGAGTTCTTTCTTACGAATGAAGGTGAATATAGGATAATGTTGCAAGATCCAATCTGGATCGGTCACTGGGGTTTGGTCTTCCAAGCTTTTGGACTCATGCCAGACCCCGTCCTCAGGGAAATTCTTTCTAGCAGGGTGTATCTCTTCACACACACTGCTAGAGAGAAGTTGTCGAAAGTCTGGCCAGCGAACCCAATGAAAGGATCCCGCAAGGCAATTAAATCCCGAAAGCTAAAACTTTATTGGATACACCCTCTCAGAACTGAAGATGCAAAACCGGCTCTGCATTTGTGACTGCAGACCTCATTTGTTTGAAATGCTAAGATTCTCACCTGCTTCCTGGCTTTCTCCTCCCTGGCCTGGGCTTTCATTTGCTGGACTTCGAGGGAATCGGCCTTCCGCCTCCTCATGAACAAGTCGTGGTTGCCGATGCAGAGCTGAAGGATCTGTGGCAGCCCACAAGAAAGGAAGCAAGCTGGCTGAGTCCTTGTTAACACCACCACCCCATGTGTGAACCCATCCCAGGAAGCTGCATGACACTAAACGAACAAGTTGTAAGTCGAGGACTATCTGCATGTATCCCGGTTCAAGGCTGAACAAAATTTGGGATTTTTTAATTATTATTTTTTGCATAGAATTGGTGTGCTCAATGCTCAGGTCCTTTTTTCCCACTGGGAGGGAGGAACCATCAATCCTTGGAGATTTTTCTCAACGTGCAGATATATTTAAAGAAGACTTTCCAGACCTTTTTCCCCCCCAGACCTAATCCTGAATTCTTTTTCCTGAACTGTTAGTTTCCCCCTTTTCAGGCTAAATTTAGAATTCGCTCAAGTGAGGAGCACTATTGAATTCCCCAAGCCGGTTTCTGCTGGCAAGAGAGACAGGAGGATGGATTTAAGATTGTGTTCTGATTAAACCTTCCAGCTCCTGCCACTCTGATGCAAACTGCACAGACCCCCCCCCCAAAAAAAGAGGGTAAAACTAGCCATCTCTGCTGAGATGGGTCAACGCCTCCTCAATCCATCAACAGGCCAGGCGCTGCAAAAACTTCAGCTAAAAAAGGCACAGGCTTCAAAGAAAAGTTCACCAGTGGGATTCTGACCACGCTAACTAGATGCAGCCAGGAGCCAAGAGCGGCTATTAGGAATCTTTCATCCAAAAGGCCTGTTGTTTTCCCAGCTCTCCAAAGAGGCCAATTTCGGAAAGGATTCTCAAACAAAGCCCTGCTGCTTGAACCAACAGTGAATTATTCCTCAAGTTGGCGTTGCACTCAAGATTTAGAGCCACTTACCAAAATCCAAACAGACCCCGTCCTGTCCTCTCTCTCAAATCCGCCAGAAAAATAATATCCCTCGCAAGGGAGGTGTGCAAAGCAGAGGCTGACAAATCACGACAGTTGCTCCTTGCTTATTAGGGAAATTGCCAGTGCCCTGTCATCCTGGCAGTTTATACGAGAACCATGGAAAGCCAAGTATCCGATGGGGGAACCTGACAGCTTTTACCAGAAGCCAAGGGGGAAAACAATACACGGGCGGGGTGGTTTGTTATGAACATACAGCACAGAATCAGAGAGCTGGAAGGGACCTCGGAGGTCTTCTAGTCCAGCCCATGCTCAAGGCAGGAGACCTTATACCATTTCAGTCCAGTCAATTCTTGAAAACCTCCAGTGATGAAGCACCCACAACTTCTAGAGCAGGGGTCTTCAAACTTGGCCCTTTACTGACTTGTGGACGTCAACTCCCAGAATTCCTCAGCCAGCATCAAAGGGCCAAGATTGAAGACCCCTGCCTGATACCATCCCAGTCAAATGGTGACTGTTGAGCACGGCTGGCTGAGGAATTCTGGGAGTTGAAGTCCACAAGTCTTAAAGTTGTCAAGTTTGGAGAGCCCTGAGCTGGAATATGAGAAAAAATATATATATCTCATTTTGGGGGGCCTGTGTTGTTGAGTGTTGGCTGTGGCTTGTCAGATAGCTGCAAACCTCTGGAGACTACCTTAGGTTTACCTGTTTGTGTATGCATCATGCAAGCATGTCCCAGTGAAGAAAAGGGGAAATGGGTACCTTTCTCTACTCAGGAGAAATTGCTCCCACGTAACGATGACATGGTACCTACCAGTTTATTCACCCGCAGCTTGGAGGAGTTGAATTTGAAAACGTCGATCTTTTTATCCAGCGGCTTTATCGTAAACTGGATGGGAAACAAAAGCAGCTTTGGGTACATTTTTTTTTTGAAAGACACAAGAGAAAAAACAGCTGATGGTTACACCAAGGCATAAGGATTAGCTAGAAGATGGGAACCTGCTTTATCTCAAGTTAAATCGTGGATTCGTCTGGCTGAGAATTTCCAACTGGGACTAACTTTCCTGGACCTCAAAACAGGAAACGTATCCCCCATTCCTTCCAAAATACTGGCACTGGTCCAGAACAATCAGCCTGAATTGTCTTTATTTTTCTTCTCCTGGCCACACTACTAAAATTTAGTACCGGCAAATGCTGAAATGTAGGGAGAGGCCATGTCCTGCAGTGCCGATGCTGGAAACTCACAGAAATGGAAGCAAAGGCCCGACAAGGGAATTCATTTAATTGAAGAAACCAACAACAATGAAAAAAAATCCTTACTTTCTCTCTCTTACTTGAGAACCTCTCTCTTTCTCTGTCTCTTTTTCTCCCTCTTTCTGTTTTTCTTTCTCACTTTCTTTCTGTCATTTTCTTTCTCTTTTTCTTTCTTTCACTTCTCTCTCTCCTTTTCCCCCCTCTCTCTCTCTGTCTTATTCTCTCTCTTTTTTCTTTCTCTCCTTTTTCTCCTTCTCTTTTCCTCTCTCTTTCTCTCTCTCTCTCACACACACACACACACACACACACAAAACAAAATCCCTGTTCCACCCACAAAGGTTTTGTGGGGAGAAAAAGGAAATGCTCTAATTGTTGGCGCAGAGAAAAGATCAGCATGGTTCATCTTACAGGGGGGAAAAAGAAGTGATGTTCACTTTGTCATTTAGCTGACAGTTGGAGAATGAAATGCTGTTTTAGATTCTGGCTCCCATGAGGGGAGAACCCCCCCCCAAAACCCAAAATTAATCCCACATCTTAAATTTTCTGCCAACAATGGGCAAAGAAAAGACATTTCAATTCCAGCCAAACATTCAGCCATTCCTGTACTAGATTAAACACCTCCCCGTGCGCCAAAGGCCCGTTCTTAAGGCTTCATCCCATCGTGTCAGATCTGTCTCGTGGTCACCTCGTTGCACGCCTTCGTTGCCATGATCAAAGGCGACAGCAGCGTCGCTTGAAAGACGGGCCTGTTAAGAGCTGAGGCAGAGATTTCCAGCTTTCTAGTGCTGCAGGGTTGGGGATTCTGACATTAAGAAGACCCGGGTCTCACTGGCCTCCTTTTAGTCCGTAGAATTATGCAAGTATGCTAAACGGGTATTATACAGGTTGTTAAGTGAGACACTCAATAAGTGAATTTTTATGACCTGTCTTGCTAGAGTTGTTAAGTGAATCCCTGCACTTGTTAATTGTTAAGTGGCTTCCCTACTGACATGGCTTGTCAGAAGTCGTGAAAGGGGATCACATGACCCCGGGACACCGCAATAGTCGTAGGTATGAATCAGTTGGCTTAGTGGCCCTGCGATTCACTGAATCTCTGCGGTGATTTTGCATAACAACCGTGCCAAAGAAGGTCATAAAATGGGGCGTGACTCCTTTTACAACTGCCTTGCTCAGGCGGTGGAAATTTTGGTCCAAACTGTGGTTGTTAAGCCGAGGACTGCCTGTATGACAGGGAGATGCAAGGATGTCTTTAAAAGAAACTTCACCAATTCAGGGCTTAAGCATTCAGCAGCGAAAACGTTCCAAACTGGGACTTTTTTTTTTGCCAGCACTAGTTAGCAACTATCTCACAATCCTCTTTATCCTTTTCCCTTTGCTAACGAAACAAGTGCTCAACTCGTGTTTCTGCCTGTCTTAAAAGGGTCACCGATACCACCCCCCCAGTACACGAAGGCTGCTATTCATATTCCAAATTCGAAGCCTCTGGATTTTAAAGGCAGCACTCAGAAACTTCACTTTAAGTGCTGCTGGAGAGCCAGGACTCCAAATGTGCCGTTACACATAAGCACAGTAGAAAGGGCAATTAGAAACCAGAGGAGAGAGCTGGGAAAGTGGGGTCAACTTAATTCAAGCACAGCCAGGAAACGTTCAATTCAAAATGGGAAGTCGGAGACTTATTTCAATACAGACAGAGGGAGGAAGGAAAAAATTCACACCGATCCAAAATCGAGACGACCTCCGGAAGAGAGAGCTTCCAAACTTCCTTTATACACTTTTAAGTTCCAGATTAACTTTTTGCACCCACGCAGGATGCCCTCCCTCTGCGAAAGTGGGATTTCAGCCTAGTGTAACTACTGTGGAGATTTCTAAGAGATGAAATCCATGTACAGGTAGTCCTTAAGTTACAGCCATCCGTTTCGCAACCGTTCAATTAGGACAGTGCTAAAAAAAAAAAAAGTGACTTTACGACCAGTCCCCGTGCTTATGACCATCGCAGCATCCCTGAGTCACGTTGACCAAAATTTGGGGGGCTTGGCAGCTTGCTCACATTTACAAGAGTTGCAGCATCTGTGGTTACGTGATCACTATTTGCAACCTTTCCAGCAGGTTTCTGATAATAAACAAAGTTATTGGAGGAAGTCAGATTCGCTTAACAACTGCACCCAAAAAATGGTCATAAAATCAGGCATAAAGACTGCACTCTTAATGACACCACCACTCAGAAACTAGTCCTGGCTGTGCTCTTAAATTGAGAAATACCTGTATTATTTGTTGTCTCAATGGCACCAAAACTAGAGGAAGTTTCCCATAAATTTTAACCGGGCAGGGTGTTCGAACCACGACCGAAACTATTGTTGCTTTCTGCCGTGTTTATACAGCTCAGGCCTACCTCTTTGTCGCTGTAAGAGACATTGCGAATCTCATTCCAAGGAAAGGAGATTTTGGGGGTCAGCCTGTTTTCTGGATCGTATATGTGGAGGCCCAGCGCATCAACCCCCAGGAGCAGCTCTGTCCCCTTCTTGTTCTAAAAGGAGAGAGGGGAAAAAAGAAAGGGAGTGGGATGAGGAAGACTTAATTTCACTTGAAGCCATGCAGCACATTAGGCACACGGATTGCACCTTAACTCTCTCCCACCTTGGCCCGGAGGTTCTGCTGCATTAACCTGGTTAAAAGGAGGAGGGGAGAGGGAGGAGGGAGAGAGAGGAGCTTTCCAACTCCGTGTGTGGACCGCAGTGCCAGTGACTCATTTGTTCCCCTACAGAAATCTCCTTCTGGCCCCTTCAGGCTTGCAGGTGAAGCTACAACGGAGAAGCCACGGAGCAGCGCAGAACGCTTCTGGGCAGAAGGGACCAGGGCTCAGCCACTCCGCCTGAATGCTCTGTTCCCCTATAAACTACCCAAAATAATTCCCACGGTGTATTTCTAGACGTACTTACCCGGATGGCAAAGTAATTCACGCCGTACATCTCTAGATCCTGGGCTATTTTCAAGTACTCCATCTCTGCTTCATCCCTGCAAAGGGAGAGGGGTGTGAGAAGGAAGTTTTTAGGCTGGCAAACTTTTACCCAAAGGAGAAAAAGCATCTGGCAGGCACCCAAGAACACAAATCAAACACGCTTCAGAGGTGCAGCAGATCCCATCATCTCTCCGAAGATGGAAACTTTTGTTTTCCAGCCAAGGTGACAAAGCTTTGCAGCAAAAGTTGAGGGCTACCTGTATTTACATGTCCCTTTTAAGTCACTCACCTGGCTCTTCCTCGGTGTTGGCCATACCAGGCTGTGATTCTTTCTTCCCACATTTCTGGAGTCATCTGGTAGAGATTTATCACCTAGGATAAAAAAGAATCTCAACTCAGCCCAACCTTGCCTGGCTGTGAATTTGTCTCAAGTGATCCGATCTCACAATCAAAGTGTTTCTCAACCTTGGCAACTTTTAACGCACGTGGATTTCAACTCCCAGAATTCTGGGAGGTGAAGCCCACGTGCTTAAAGTTGCCAAGGCTGAGAAACACTGTCATAATCAAAGCTGGATGAAGTTTGGAATTCAACCTCAAGAATGAGAATAGAGTTGGAAGGAGCCGTGGAGGTCTTCTAGTCCAACCCCTGCTCTATACTATTTCAGACAGGTGGCTGTCCAGACTCTTCTTAAAAGCCTCCAGTGATGGAGCAGCCACAACTTCTGGAGGCAAGCCGTTCCACTGGTTAATTGTTCTCGCTGTTAGGAAGTTTCTCCTTGATTTCAGGTTGCTTCTCTTCTTGGTTAGTTTCCATCCATTGTTTCCTGTCTTGCCTTCTCGGGCTTTGGAAAATAAAGCACGTGGCTTTATTTATAAAATAAACAAATAAAGATGGGGGCATCCCTGTGTGAGCCATGTGCCTCAAGCACGTGGCTCACTCAGCGATGTCCCCATCTTTCGGTTTGGTCACTAAGCTGCCCAATTGGAAAAGACGGTATCAACCACATCATGCATTTTCCCCACCATGGCAGACCCCTTCCGCTAGTCTCAGCTGAGCTGAGTGAGTGAGATCCATCACGCTTACCCGTTTTGGAAGCAATTCCTCTTGGGCCAAGAAGCCGCGCTTGTGAACGCTGGGATCGTAGTCCCCATACTGCAAAGACAGAGGGATTTCTGGAGTTAGAACGGTTGTGAGAATGTGTGGACAGGTCCCCCAAAGAGCCCAGGTAGCTGCAGAATCCTTCGGGACCACTGGTGTCTTCTTTGTTAGGGAAAGTAAAGTCGTAGCCTACCAAAATATCCACAGATATCCCCGAACAGCAGAGAAAACATGATTCTCCAGTCTCCTGCTGACATTATATTGTTCTCTCTGCTTTATGATACTTTATCCCTGTATCCTTACGATACAGCAAGTCCTTGACTTACACTGGACCTCATAAAAAGGACCCGGATCTGAATTATGACAGCAAGTTCCCCCTGAAGTCACATGATCACATGTTGTTGGGCACTTGGCAACTGGCATAGCCCTTCCTGCAAACTCTGAACAGGACAGGGTCAATGAGCTTCTTCCTCATCCTGCTACAAAACGGAGGGCGCTCCGCCTTTCCACAATTAAGATTCTGTTTTAAAGAAGCCGGCCATTAAAAGGATCGTGTGTGCGGATTCATTTTTTAGCAAACGGACAAAAGCAGAGGGGCTCATGTTGCATTCGGCTCCTACCCAGCTAATTAAAACTGAAGAAGAAGGAAGGGGGGGGGGACTGCATTCAGTGGCTCAGGAATGAATTCGGCATGCAAATATCTATTATGTAACTGATTCCACTCGGCATTGGGAGAGAGAGAGGAGGGGTGGGGGAGAGAGAGAGAGAGATAGCAAACCCCATCCTTTGAAATTCCTATTGAGCCTCCGCTGGTTCCAGCTCTGAAGCTTTCCTGGGATAACCCTTAAATCTTTGGAAGTAAATAAAACAGAAGTAGAGCAGTTCACGTCAAAGCAATATTTATGGCGGGTCTGCAGAAGTGGAGCACAAAAGAAAATGGCCCAGTAATGATCCGACTTCTTCTTTTCTTACGGAAAGGACAAGACTTGGGGAATTGATGGGACCTGCGGAAGAAAATGAACATCTAAGGCCTCACTAACACAAAGAGATAACCGTGGCCGGATTCAGAATGATGGAAAAGGTGGAAAGGAGGAGAAAAGAAAGGAATGGCTTCTCTGTTAAGTAAAACCCTCCCTGCCTCCCCCCCCCCTTTTGTATCCAGAGAGGCACAAGCTGTACTGTAGCACATTAGGTCTCAAAGAGCAGGTCCATCTACATATAATTACTCCTTCTGCAAGTTTGCTGGTTCCTAAAATCAAGCTGCTGAGCTGGTTTGGTGTAGTGCTTAAAGGCCAGAAGCCAGGAGACGGTGAGTTCTAGTCTCATCTTAGGCATGAAAGCCACTTGGGTGACTTTGGGCCAATCACCAGGAGGCGCTGAGTTCTAGACCCGCCTTAGGCATAATAGCCAGCTGGGTGACTTTGTGTCAATCATCAGGAGGCGCTGAGTTCTAGTCCCGCCTTAGCCATGGAAGCCAGACGCATGACTTTGGGCCAAACACTAGGAGACGGTGAGTTCTAGTCTTGCCTTCTGCGTGAAAGCCAGCTGGGTGACTTTGGGCCAATCACCAGGAGACAGTGAGTTCTAGTCCCACCTTAGGCATGACAGAATCTTCTTACTACCAGGATGTGGGATGACTTGCTGGTAATTTCCCAAAGTTTCTGCTCGTCTCTCTGCTCAGAGTCAGGGGCTTCTTGCAGATCAATTCTGGGAGTTGAAGTCTACGCATTCTTCAAGTTGCTAAGGTGGAGAAACAAAGTTCTACTCTGTCTCAAAGGTGCTTTTCCCAAAAGGCAACTGGACTCTCTTTCTTTTTCCCTGCAGACGTTTCGCTTCTCATCTGAGAAGCTTCATCCGTTCTGACTGACCCATCACCATCCAGTCAGAACAGAAGAAGCTTCCGGGAGGAGAAGCGAAATGTCTTCAAGGAAAAACAGAGAGAGTCCAGTTGCCTTTTGGGAAAAGCATCTGTGAAGGCAACCTGGATGATGGAGAATCTCCAGAGATACCGTTCCGCTCTCTTCTTCCAGAGTCAGGTCCAGCAGCCTCCGTCTCCTGTCTAGCCTGACCACAGAGACGACTTAACGTTGGCTTCTGTCTCGGTTCCAACAGGAAGCATTAAGAAATAAGCCCCCTCCCCCCCCCGGGACCCTTTTACAGCTTCGGAGGGGAACCCTCCATCCTTCCCTGTGGTGGGTTCTACTGAATGAACTTGATTGCTGTGTGAAGGACTTTCACTGAAGGCAAGACTGAGCTCGGGGGGGGGGCGGGGGGGAAGCATTTCAGACAGACAGCCTGTCTGGCTGCCAAAAGCTCTTTTACCTAAATTGGGTTACGAAGTAGTACCGAATCATTATTCGTGTGAGTTCGTACAATCCATCATCAAAGACCGATACCCTTCAGATAGCCAGGGAAGCAATCACTTTGCATATTAAGCATTCAGGCCATGAGACACACACACACACACACACACACACACACAAACACACCACTGTTTGAATGGAACAGGACGGCCACCCCCAAGAAGTGAATACAAAGGAAGGGCGATATCTGGATTTTAGCTGTCTAAAACAAGCTGCAACGCCCTGCGGTCACCCATGTACCAAAGCCAAGATTATCGTGTGTGGTTTTTTCAAACTATTAACAGCAACACACGAAAATGACTTCAACCCTTTGCTTCACCCAGCTGGCTTTCATGCATAAAGTGGGACTAGAACTCCCAAACTCCTGGTGATTGGCCCAAAGTCACCCAGCCGGATTTCATGTCTAAGGCGGGATTAAAACTCACTGTTTCCTGGTGATTGGCCCAACGTCGCCCAGCTGGCTTTCATGCTAAGAAGGCACTAGAACTCACCGTCTCCTGGTGACTGGCTTAAAGTCACCTAGCTTTTATGCCTAAGGCAGGAGAAGAACTCACCATCTCTGGCTTTTCTAACCTGGTGTCTTAACCATTAGCCCAAACTGGCTTTCGGTTAACAAAGATTAAAAGAGATTTTCTAAATGAATTGGGCTCCAGGTTCAAAAGGTTGGGACGAAGATAACAAAGCGGAACATAAATATTTCAAGAGATGCTGGGTTGAAAAAGCAGCTAACTTGCAAGGAGGGGGGGGGGGAAACACCACGCAAAGCTTTTCAATTAAATCACCTTTTTTTCAAGCACCAGGGAAACGGTTCTTCTCGGAAGAACACTGATTCATATTTATGTTTATACTTGTAGATTATCATTCTGTCACCCAGACATCTGCTTTTTCTTGTACCGAACAAAATTGTTTCCATTTGCATTCGAGATACCGTGGTGTGTGTTAGATTTTAGAAACAACAAATAAAGAATAGAAAGATTTTTGCCAGAACTGAGAAACTACAGAATCGAAGAGCCTGTAACGGATTCACTTTTGAAGATGACTAAGAACAGGACTAGAACTCCCAGTCTCCCACATTCTACCCTGATGCCCTTAACCGCTCGAACCAAACTGGCCCTCATTTTGATTGTTTTATTTTGTTAGTTGCTGCTTGCTTGGTAGCGAGGTGGGCGGCATACAAATTTAACAAATATTTAAATAAATGTCTACCCCTCCTTCTTGCAAGCAGCCCCGAGGGATGCAAACCAAAATGCTGGACTAAGATGGGCCTTACCCTGGAACCAGTTCTCACATCCTTTGTATGTTTGGTAAAAGAAGTGGCAAAAAGAACAAAGGGAGGGAAGGGAGAAAGAGGCTCTTACGTAACTCTAACACTATTGTGCACTCAGAAATAATCACTTCGGAGTCCGACAGGTAGCAGCAACGAAAAGTCTGCCCCCAAAAGTGGCTTTTTGCCAATTAAAGTTGCTCCACACACACCAGTCTCGCTCAAGGACATGATGTGCAGGGAGCAAAAAAGCACAAGACAAATGCTCGTCCATGTGGATTAATAGCAGGTCACGCAATCAGGTGGGCGGGGGTGGCAATACAATATCCCTCTGTAAACCTTTATTAAGGGATTCATCCGTCCTCACTAGCCATTTCCACTCAACCCAACGCTGTGATTTTAAGAGCAAAACCAGAGGTGCATTAGCCAGCCTGCGCAAACAGCAAAAAAAAAAAAAAAAAGGACAGTGCTCATTAACAATGATCATTTATCAATATTTATGTCTCCACAGCCTGGCCTGGTGTTTGTTCCACGGATCAAGGAGGAGATAAATGGAGGGGAAAGAGGAAGCCCTTCTGAAAATGAACAAGAACAGCTGCAAGAAAGAGGCTGCCCAGAAATTCACCACCTCTCACTTTGAAAGGACCAAAGAAACCATCAAGATGTAGACTACTCTCAACAGAGGGGGGGGGGGGATACAACACCACCTATCTCAACACAATCTATGGAGCTTCTCTGTCATCCAGGTCATGGTTGTCCCAAAGGTGCTTTTTCAAAAGGCAACTGGACTTCCTTGGTTTTTTTCCTTGAAGACATTTCGCTTCTCATCTAAGAAGCTTCTTCAGTTCTGACTGGATGGTGGAGAATGGAAGGATTTAGGACATAGGAGAGCAAACCCATCAGGACAAGATTCAGCAATTGAAAGAGAAAGGCCACTCTTTGGAAGAGGGGACCACTGGTTTGAAAGAGGGGTCAAAGAGGCAATCAATTCTGAATCAGAATAGAGCTAGGAGGGACCTTGGAGGTCTTCTAGTCCAGCCCCCTGCTCAAGCAGGAGACCCTATGCCATTTGAGACAAGTGGCTGTCCAGTCTCTTCTTAAAAACCTCCAGTGATGAAGCACCCACAACTTCTAAAGGCAAGTCATTCCATTGATTAATTGTTGTCACTGTTAGGAAGTCTCTCCTTAATTCCAGGATGCTTCTCTCCTTGATTAGTTTCCATCCATTGTTTCTACATTATAATGATATTATTATATTATAAATGATGAACCAGGCCTTACCTTGGCTTGCACCGCGTAGGATGCTAGAAGGACAGATGCCTCTGGAGGACAATAGATCTTCTCATCCAAAATCTGTTTCTTCACCTGAACGAGGCAACAGTGAAATGCAAGCTGGTGAAGGGCTGAGCAGGTGGCCTCATGCCGCTTCGAAGCAGCTTCCAACCGGCCAGTTAATTATCAATTATAATTCTTGAGCTGCCCTCCTGGATGTACACATATTACTAAGCCTCGCTGAACACTGAGGGATTCATGCTGGGGTAAACACTCCTCCCCAATTTCACCCTTTTAGAAATGCAAGCTGCAGAACCAGGATGCAACAGGAATGTTTTGGGAGAACATTCCAGTTTCTCCCAAAAGAGAACTTCCAAAGAGGTTGCACAGCTATGTTAAAACAGCATAAAACATGAACAGGTACAACGTGCATAATCAAAAACAGAATCTTCATCCGAGCACCATTTGAAAAGCAAGATTTTAAGACATGCTAAGACAAAGCAAGTTGCATTTGGTGTCCCCCATCTAAATCGATTCTACTTTTATTTCACTATTCTTTTAACCACCTCTGCTCAGACACGGCTTAACACAATCATCAATCTCATTTTATTCTCTCCGCCACAAATAGGGAACAGATTTTTTTTTCTTCTTCCCCGCAACAGGGTTTGAAGCCTGATCTGCTCTAGTTTCTAATACATATGTAAATTAAAGATTTAATATATTCTTAAGAGCTCTTTAGAAATGCATAGCGTATCTCTAGGAAAGGAAAAACCAAGCTTGTTTTGGCTGGGTCTGTTCTTTTTTTTCTTTTTTTTTAAGTATTTTAATTGTTTTTTTTAATACCAGACAGCATTTGCAATATCCTGGCAGGAACACAGTGACTTAAAGAACTGGGGCCAGAATCTCAGTGATTTTGTTCTAAGCTCCAATTAAGCTTGGATTGTATTTATTTTTTTAGACCTCAGATAACACCGAGGCGGTGTTATATGCCACTTATTAACCCAAGATGTTTGTGGATACATAAGGATTCCCTTGCATAACTCGATTTTTTCCAGATGTTGGATCATGCAGTCTGTACAAATATAAAAGTTTCCATCCGTTGCTTCTTGTCCTGCCTTCAGGTGCTTTGGAGAATACGTTGTGCCCCTCTTCTTTGTGGCAGCCCCTCAAATATCGCAACACTGCTATCATGTCACCCCTACTCCTTTTTTCTAGACATCCCCAATTCCTGCAATTGTCCATGTTTTATCCTCCCTTAATCATCTCTGTTGCTCTTCTCTGCACTCTTTCTAGAGTCTCAAACATCTTTTTTATATCATGGCGACCAAAACTGTATGCAGTATTTCAAGTTTGGTCTTACCAAGGCATTATAGAGTGGTATTAACACTTCACGTGATCTTGATTCGATCCCTCTATTAATGCAGCCTAGGACTGCATTGGCTTTTTTGGCAGCTGCCGCACACAGATGGCTCATATTTAAGGGGAGATCCCTCTCACAGTTATTACTGTTGAGCCAGGTACCACCTATTCTGCACTTGTGCATTTGGCTTTTCTTGCCTAAATGTAAAACCTTACTTTTCAATGCAATTAATGCGATGGTTACGATGTTTGATTAGGATTAAGGAGTCCCAGGTTCAGATTTCCCCTTGGGCACAGAAGCTCCCTTAACAGCTAACTTGTCCCATAAAGCTGCTCTTGTGGAAAAAAAGTAAACGTGAATTTTGCCTTGAGCTTCAGGAGGAAAAATTGGATACAAAAGGAAGAAAACAAACACGGCGATAAATAATGTGGATTGTCTGTTAGAGGAAGCCGTGTAATCGGTGAGAATCAAACATTATGTATCAAAAGACAATATCCATGTGTCTCGCACCCCTGATAGCCTTCATCATTTACAGATTTCAGATTTACAGCTGGGAAGGAAAAGAAGATAAATTCAGCCAAGGGTCTCCTTGAAACACAGGAGGCCCGGTGCAAAGGCGAGATTTTCTGAAATTGTGGTTGTTGACCGATTGTGTAGGTTCCCCTTGAAAACGAAAGGAAGAATCCTATTAAATGAAGATGGCTTTAGAGCTATGTCTGACCCTCGTCCGGCCAAGTTCCATTAATCTAGATCCATCAATCTAGCTTGGGTCCTCCAGATGTGTTGAAGTCACATAAATATCGCCAGGTTTTTCAACTCTGGCGGCTTGAAGTTGTGTGAACTTCAACTCCCACAATTCCCTTCAATTCTGGGGGTTGAAGTCCACATGTCTTCAAGCCGCCAAGGTTCAGGAACCCTGGTTTATAAGGCAGGGAACCAAATGTGCCATCTCGCAATAGAAACACGATTCCTTTTGTACAGGAATCTCAACCTTTGACGTCCCATGTCCCCTGCTATTTCCAAATACTTCTGTTCTTCCCGCCAAAGTGGAAACCGTAATCTGAAAATGCACCTCCGGAAGTTGGGCAGGTATTAGTCCCCCTTATAAAAGGCCTTACCTGTAGGAAGAACAGATGCTGGGTGATTTCCTGGACCAGCTCTTCTTCTGCATTCTCTGGGTAGAACTTGGCCAGGAAGTGAAAAGTAACCGGCTCCTCCTTTGGGACATCGTGGTCCAGCACCTGCAGAAGGAGACCTCCGATGAAGCTCTCCAAATCTCCCAGCGCCTATCTTTTATTACTGCTGCTCTCTTCAGCCATGGAAAGACAGCAGCTGGTTGGCATGGTTTAGGGAACAAGCCACCATCGGCAGGATGTAATAAACCATAAACCGTGGCTTAAAATCACAACCATCTCATCAAATCCAGAAACAAGTGAGCATCCAGCATCTTGCTAAGCAGGGTCAGTTCTGGCGAGTCTGACACTAATGCACAAGCAAGCAAACTACAGGTAGCCCTCGGCTTATGACTGTCATGGGGCCTACCCATCACAGTCACAAGTAGTGATGGTCATAAAGCAGGTCACCAATGTGGTCATCCTGATTTTATGATCCCCTTTGGCGAACTTCTGACTTAACTGCAGCGATTCACTGAACAGAAGTGGCAAGGAAAGTCCTAAAGTGGGGCAAAACTCACTTAACAAATTCCTCACTTTGCCACGGAAATGTGGGGCTCAGCTGTGGTTATAAGTCGAGGACTTACCTGTACTGGTTGTTTTTCATTATTATTTGTTACACTGCCTAGAGGCGCTAAGAGCCAGTAGGCAGCTATATAAATTTTCCAAATAAATAAAGAAAATTACTGTTGATCCACCTCAATCTAAAACCAGCCCTGGCCACCATCTGCCATCTTTTCTTTTCTGTTCTGTTAAAGTTTGTTACTTTCAGAGGCTCCAAACACACAGAATCCTTACTAATTAGGGAGTGGCAGCTGGACGAGGACGCACAAGGTGCTCGCAGTGACCACAAAGCACAATGTCGCCTTCCACAGATGCTCTGGCGGACGCCGAAGAGTCTCATTAGCCTGTGCAGACGTGTCTAATTAGAGGAGCTGACATTGAGGGCATCTCCTAATAGTAAGGCGTCTGGGATCAAAGGTTACCCAATTCCAGCGGCTTGAAAACAGATCAAGGTGCGGCACGTATTCGCTGCTCCTCCAGGTAGCTCCCAAAACTGTTTTATCCATTCCTTGGGAGACTTTTTTGATTGTGGTCAGTAAGAACCGATGGTACGATTTCTCTGCCCTTTTGAGGTGGGAATTTTGTAAGCTACTAAAATGCTGTCTCCATGTGCATGCAAAGAAAGATCCCATGTAGTATGTGGCTTATTGCCATTAGGTGGGAATCCAGCTGTTGTGTTTGCTGAATCCACCCAGGATAATCGTGGTTTAATGCTATGTATAAGGTTGGAGACCTCTGGACATTCGTGCTTTGAAAGGGGAAGGCAGATCCTTACCTTCTTGTCCGTTTTGAGCCAGGCTATTGTGTCTTTAATCATGTACTGCAGTCCAAAGAACCATGTTTCACGGAGTCCCAGTGTCCTACACACCAGGTCAAAGAGGTCCTTTCCTTTCCATTTCACCTGCACCAGGAAACAAAAGTTAGAAGACAAACCAAGTTGCTTTCAGTTTGTTCTGCCGGGACAAAATTTCTGCTTCAAAATAATTTGACGAAGCAGTCAAGTGCCAAGGTATGACTCTACTACACAACTCTGTGTCATCCTTTAAGAGAAAGATGTAACAGTTTGATATGACCAGAATGAACATTAAATCTTAGGCTGACCGTATGTGTTTTTTAACCCCAATGCTGAGGATGAATCAACATAACCATCTAAGAAGAGTATATATCATAAATAGGAAAATTAATTGCAGTGACAAACGAACATCAATAATAAGTCAATATTTAATTACCAAAAGAGAGGAACAGAATGACCAAGGGCTGGAAAAATGGAGCAGGAGTGACTTCTGATTTCCTGCTGGTTTCCCCAGTGACTTTCCTTGTGGGAAGACAGCAGGGAGCACTGGAAATCACAATCACACGATTGCGGGGACATTGCAATGGCTACGACTTGTGAATAAAACTAGTCTAAATTTTGGGGGAATTTCCATTTCCATTTGACAGGAGTTAGGGCTCCTATATGCGGTACATCTGTCTTCCCATCTGTTCAGTCATTATTAGTGCTAGAAATTTCCTGAAGGCGACCGCATGTATTGGTGAGGACCCTCTAAGCCTATCTTCAACAAGTTGCCCAGTTTCCACCACTATATCTGGAAGCCTTAGCCTGCGCTGTATTTTATTAACCTCTTTCTGCACACGAAACAGATCCATCTTATCAGCAACATGCAGGTGAGAAAAAAAAAGTCCTCTGCAGGTAGAAAACATGATTGCATTATCCTGCTTCACCTTATCTAGCAGGGCATTCGATTTAAATCCCTGTTTATGTTTCAGGTGGATAACCTCCATGCAATATACACAGGTGTCAATGAACACATCCATAATTTAAGGCATGCGAGAGAAGAGAAGCGTAAAGGAAATGCCGTGGAAATATGGAGAAAGATAGGAAAACTAACCGAGTTGTCGCTTTTCTTCAAAGCTGAGCTCCTACAAACTATGTACTAGATACATAGAGCATAGAATTACAGAATTGGAAGGGACCTTTGAGGTCTTCTAGTCCAACCCCCTTCCCAAGCAAGAGATCTTTCAGACAAGGGGCTGTCCAGTCTCTTCTTAAAAGCCTCCAGGGATGGAGCACCCATAACGTCTGGAGGCAAGCCGTTCCACTGGTTAATTGTTCTCACTGTCAGGAAGTTTCTCCTTAATTCCAGGTTGCTTCTCTCCTTGATTAGTTTTCCTCCATTGTTTCCTGTCTTGCCTTCTGATACACAACAAGAAAGCATCAGAAGGCTAGAGAAGACATGTTCAGATGGGGAAGCAATTTACAAATGTTTCTAAATGCTTAACGTTAACCTGGTTGATTTTAAATGATTCACAAAGCCAAGGTTTTTTTTTGCTAAAGCCAAAGTCCTTCAGAGCAGAGGTCCCCAACCTTTAGGGCACCAGGGACCGGTTCCATGGAGAGAGGTTTTTCCACAGACCGGAAAGTGCGTGGTTTAGTGTGCTACCTGCATCCCGCGGATGCGGCTTTGCTTGTTTGTGTGGACCGGTTGCTGGCATGCCGCAGCCCGGTACTGGTCCACAGACCGGGGGTTGGGCACCCCTGCTTCAGAGGGATGCAGATCATTTTATACCTCACTAGGACATGAAGCACTGCTTAGGAAAGAGCGGGGTGGGGGGGACCACAATTGCATGAAAGCAAAGAAGTAAATGCAGGAGTCCAGCGGCTTCGAAACCAGGCAAGATTCCTAGGTTTTGGCATAACATTCCTCTTTCCCCCCCCCGCCCCTCTTCAACAGGATCACCTGCATAGCATCAATATTCATCCTGAAAGGTGATTCGGCCTGTTCTGCTTCAGTGTTATTCAATGCCAGGCAGTTGTTATCACACACCGCCCCCTGGCGACGACTTCTGGCTGCAAAAAACGGCAAAGAGGGTCCCCGTCTCAGGTCTCCCCTCACTCTTTTTTTGTTTTTCCTCGTACAAAAAGAACACAAGGCTAAAGAATCCAGGCTGCTCAGAGTCCCCTCGAAGCGAGATGGGCAGCAAACTAATCTAATCAAATCAATTTTAAAAAAGTATCTGGAGAAAAAGAAAAGGGAGAATTAAGACCGGGAATCTCAACCCGAATTCCTACTTTGCAGTAATTTAAGGAGCAATAAACTCAAGGGCTAAGTCCTGCTCCAAGACCTTCCTGATGTGCTAGAAGAGGAACAGAACAATGAGGTTCAAGAGCATTCTCATGTGCAAAGAGGGACCTGCAGAAGAGATGTTGAGACTCTAGAAAGAGTGCAGAGAAGAGCAACGAAGATGATTACGGGTCTGGAGGCTGAAACATATAAAGAACGGTTGCTGGAATTGGGTGTGTCTAGTCTAAGGAAGAGAAGGACTGGGGTATCATGATAGGAGTGTTCCAATATCTCAGGGGTTGCCCCAAAGAAGAGGGGGGTCAACCTGTTCTCCAAAGCGCCTGAAGGCAGGACAAGAAGCAATGGATGGAAACCAGTCAAGGAGAGAAGCAACCTAGAACTAAGGAGGAATTTCCTGACAGTGAGAACAATCAACTAGTGCTTGCCTCCAGAGGTTGTGGGTGCTCCATCCCTGGAGGCTTTTAAGAAGAGACTGGACATTTGTCCAGAATGGCACAGGGTCTCCTGCTTGAACAAGGGGTTGGACTAGAAGACCTTCCAACTCTGTCATTCTGTTATCCACCAGAGTATCCCATTGTGCAAAAGCGGCACCCTGCTTTTTTGCGAAGGGGTTTGTACACAACCTGCTTCTGCGGCACCAAAGGCTGAATTCACACTTCACATGGCTAAACTGTCGGGGGGGGGGGAGGCTTAATAAACCGTGGCTAAATAAACCACAATGAAGGCCATCGTGGGTGCACCTAATTCAGCACTGAGAACGCAAAATGCATCTGTTTGCAAACGGCTTGGTTTCATTCCCTTTGCTCATGTCCGGCTTTAAAAAACGGCGAGAAAGCATGGGATACTGGATTAATATTCCTCAAAGGAGCTTTGTTTCGTACTAAGGTACCCCCTCACACCTCTGTTGGCAGTGTTTCCTCCCTCCCCCCCCCCCATCTGTCTTGTCTTTACGGTCATGGCTCTAAAGGGAAAGATTGACAAGCGAAGAGGCAGACCACACCACGGACGACCGGTACTCATCCTTTGCTAAGAGGATGCTCAGGCAGAGAAAAAGGCTTTGCATCCACAGATGCAGTCCGGTACCCAGAGGAATCGGGTGTTTTCAAACTCCAGCTGTGCTTTGCTCGGAAGGACAGGGAGGGGAGGGCCCCCTTCCCTCCCTCGCCGGAATTCGACCCCCCCTCCCTCGCCCAAATTCAAGCCCAGCCTGACTGCAAATGAAGTGCCGTGTTATGTAAGCTGCTGCAAAGTCTTTATAATGAAGTTAGGGGAAAACATTAAAATGCTGCAGTTCGAGGGAACCAAGAAAGGGGGGGGGGAGAGAGAGAAAAAAAAGAAAGGAAAAAAAAAACCACCAGGGAAGCCCGTTGGGTGTTTTGCCTCAAACTGCGAGAGCACCTCTTAAGACGTCTTTCCGACGCAGCGGTCCTTGACTTATGACGGCAACCGAGCCCCAAATTTTCTGGGGTTCTAAGCAAGGCGGTGGGGAAGTGAGTTTTGCTGCATTCGGAGGCTGTTTGTTTATTTGTTTGTTTTAGCCACAACTGTTAAGCAAATCTGGCGTCTGATATTGTTGGAAGCCAAGCTGGGCTGAGCTGGGAAGGTACAAAATGGTGGCCACGTGACCCCAGGACAGGGCGTGCAATTAGTCACAAAGACACGCCAGTGTCCGAGTGTCCAAATATCACAGGACTGTGGGAATGCTGCAACGGTCTTAAGTCCCTTTTTCCAGCCTCGATTGTAACTTCGGGCAGTCCCTAAATGAATAGTTGTAAGTTGAGGACTTAACTGTGTGTCCAACCTTTTTCTAGACCTCAGAGCCCGTCCTTATCTGTAACTGAGCCTCTAACTGGCATCTCTACGATTGCTAAGGTTATTAAGCTTCAGGCTTGCTCATCAGTGGAATAAGGTCCATTTAATGGCCACGGAGAGATGGCTCCGAGTTGAGAGCTTTGCAAATCAATTTTCTTTTTTTGCAATTTAATTACCCGAACTAAGATCAAACACCGCTTCTCTCCTTCCTTGGATTCCATGCTTTCGACACTCGGAACAGGACCAGGTAAACAGATTTTTACACAGCCAAAACAGATGAATGGGAAATTTAGCAAATGTTAGCTATAAGAGCCACAGTGATGCTGTATAGCTAGCTAACTCACTGCTCGCTGTCAGGAGTTCGATGCTGACCGGCTCAAAGTTGACTCAGCCTTCTATCCTTCTGAGGTCGGTAAAATGAGGACCCGGATTGTTGGGGGGAAGGATGCTGATTCTGTAAACCAGGGGTCCCCAACCCCCGGTCCGTGGACTGGTACCGGGTTGCGGCATGCCAGCAACCGGACCGCACAAACAAGCAAAGCCCCATCATTGGCATGCAGGCAGCACACAAAACCACGCACTCTCTGGTCCGTGGAAAAACCTTTCTCCACGGAACCGGTCCCTGGTGCCCGAAAGGTTGGGGACCTCTGCTGTAAACCACTTAGAGAGGGCTGTAAAGCACCATGAAGCGATATATAAGTCTAAGTGCTAATGCTACTATCCAGAACGATTGGGAATTTTGGGAGCTGTAGTCCCACTCAATAAAGGCCAGGGACAGATTGACAGAATCTGCCAACAGAGATATTCCAAATCAACCTGACAAATTCCAAATGCACCAGACTACAAAGCCCATCAGCCTGTCCTGCTCTCCCTCCCTTGCCAATGTGGCCTTCTTTGTTAGAAGACAAATTGCAACGTGCCATAGTTCAGCTCACACAACACCAGGCTTGCCTGATAAGCTTGCTTAAAGCCATGTTCTGGTTGCCCCCAAGACAGAGACTTAAAT